AAAAAAAAAAAAAAAAAAAAAAAAAAAAAAAAAAGAAACAAAAAAAAAAAAAGAGGGGGGGGGGGGGGGGAGATCAGGAAAGTCACACTTACTTAATGCAGACTGGTAAGAAGGCTGCACATAGACGCCCGGCAGCTTCTGCTTCACAACCAAAGTACTGAAAGAAAAGGGTCGCTTAGTTCGGATTTGGATGGCATAAAATAGAATCACGTACAGCCACGCTTGCATGAGAATAAAGCCACCATTTACGTTTTCCTTTAACTAAGAAATATCATCCCCAGGACCAAAGCCACAGCAAATCTATACACAGTACACAGAGGGCCAAGAGAGTCTTCCTTCATCCAGAAGAGAATGCCAGGAATGTGACTTCTTTGAAACGGGGCATTTCCCCAGGGTCCACCAGCGACCAACAGACGAGCTCAACAACAGGCCGGCAACTCACTTGCCCTATTAACCAGGATGCACTTTAAACACGAGGGATCCAGTTACTCAAGAGCAAAGCGTTCCCTGAGATAGCTCACCAGCTTTGAGGACTCTCAGAGTGAGCGTAAAAGGCAAGTACGCAAAGAAAGGAGGAGGAGGTACAGCAAGAAAATAAGGGATGGGAATGACAGCAGAGAGAAATAAGGCTATGTTCTCGGAAAGTATGAGGGCTTGCTGAAGGCTAACCAGGTCTGCTTCTGTTGGACTCCACTTGTTAAACGTGAGTTCCATGAAGGAAGAAGTTTTATCATGGTGTACTCTGTAGACCAGTGTTTCTCAACCTTGGCAACTTTAAGACGTGTGGACTTCCACTCCCAGCTTGGCTGGCTGGGGAATTCTGGGAGTGGAAATCCACACGTCTTAAAGTTGCCAAGGTTGAGAAACACTGCTGTAGACAAAGGGGATCTTTTTTCGTATCCAGCTCGCTGAACTGAGAAAAGCTTTTTAAACTTGGAGTTTTTTTAAAAAAAAAAAAGGGGGAGAAAACCTTGTTTTCTTGCCTAGCCCATAATATTTTGCATGACACACCAAAGCAGTAACAAGAATGGGTGCAAGAGATGAACAACTTCAAAGTCTTTTTTACCCCGTTTTCCTGATACAGAGGGATGACTCATGCCATTTCTGATCTTTTTAAATTTTTTGGAACAGATTACGTAGTGTGATCTTCTTGCAGCTGGAGGAGAGGACGCCCAAGGCTTTATCACCAAGGAAGGGCAATTGGGAGAACAAGAGGGAGTTGTGTTCCCGGCACAGCAGCACTGTGAATGGAATTTTACCCAGTCATCTAGTAATAGGAGCAGGGGCGGCGTTTTGCCAGATCAGGGAGACCAAAAGATTCATAAATAAGATTCTGATTAGCTAAAAGACACGTGTCAGTTCAACTGAACAAAACTAGTCGAGAAAGTTAGCTTTTTCACTGACGACACCACCAGCAAGGCCTGCGTTGATTCGCATTTAGTAAACAGGCCTACTCACAATTTTAAGACGGGTTAATAACATAGTAATTTTACCAACTATGCTAAGAATACACTGACATGGAAATGAATTTCTTAAATGGGCCAACTTGCAGTCTTCTTAAGCCAACAAAGGCAGCAACAAAGGAGCAACAAAAGCAGATGGCAGCCTTCAACTAGTCTGTTGTTACGCTACAGCCCATCTCACAATAAACTTATTTATAAAAAGTATAGGAGTTTATGTCATGGAGAAAGTTACCCCAGTGCATCCTTATTTAGCAGCATATTCAGAAGTTGCTTTTCAGGGTGGATGTGAATTTATGCTTTTCAATTTCTTCTCTTTTCCAATCACTTAGTCAGGACATAGAGTTAGCAGATGATCGCAGAGATGACTATGTGGATTTTATTTTACCTAATTATTTATGAGAGCTTTTCCCAGTCTGATGACCCCCCTCTTCCCCGATGCACTGGAGAACACATAATCCTGAACCAGGCCAACCTTTCCCCATGCTGGTTTGAATTCTGGAAGTTAAAATCCAATACATGAAAGACACAGATGAGGGAAAGCTGCTATACATCTTTCCAAGGAGATGTCTTTGGAGTTCATACCAGGCTATTGGATGCTAAAGAGAGGTGGTTGTTATTATAATGATTAAACCTGTATGCCACCCGACTCTCAATAACTCTGGGCAACCTTCCCTAAACTATGATCTATCCTGCAGCCCTTCCAACAGAACTGATGGGGGAACATTGAGATCTGATCCAGATTTGACTGGCCCAACACACTTTTATTTGCATTGTCTCACTTCAAAATCAGATTTTTTATCACAATGCAGAATGCAAAACCAAGATTCAGCCTAATGATATCCAACAGCATCTTGTTTAGCTAAGGGCAGTATGAGAAATGTTCCCTTGCAGATCTTGAATTGTGGACACTATTATTAATCGCTGGTCTATAAGAACTCTGGCTTTTCAAAAACTCCATGAAATTCTTCCAGCTATTCAGAAAACTGCCCATCAACTCCTGACCGAAGATCAAGCCTCAGGAAGCTGCTCTGGTTCACAAACTGTTAAAGCGAATGCAACATGCAAAATCAGCCACGGGATGTTTCTTAGTAAACAAAATCATTCTACTACAAATTAAGCAGGGAAGTAACAACTGCACATCTCAGCGGAAGACACACGTACAATTCTGCCAGCAGAGAATATTCCAAATAGAAAGGTCCGTAGGAGGCATGGGTTCCATTTGTAGACTGAGCTGAAAGGGCAGGAGAAGCAGGCTTGGTCATTGGCATAACATTTTTGGGAATAGAAGGCAACTGCTTTTTGGGAGCAGAGCGTGGAGGACTGTTCTTCAGCTCACCAGCTAGAGCCTTTTCTTCCGTTTCCGGTTTCTATTAGAGGAAGGCAAAATAGAAAAACTGAATTCTTGTTGCATGCAGAAAGCAAAAGTGAACCCCATTCGTTCTCACCCTAATAGCAATTAAGGAGATTTGTATCCAGCCAGTTCTAACAATTCTAAGATATATATCCACCAAATTTACTGAATGTTGCTCTGTATAAATTGACTATTGCCAGATACAGGACTGACTGTAGCTAGCCACAAGCTAAACAAGATACCTAAGCCTACTTTTAATGAGAATGTCAATGTCAGCCTATCTGCTTTCCCAGATCCTTTTTTTAAACTGCTGCCTAATTCTAAAGAACTAGAAAAGCCCATGTAAGCAAATTCTCTTTGAAGAAAGGGTTATCCAGGAAGGTCATTCTGTGAAGCAAAGTGATTACAGGACTGAAGCATATCTTTATTTTTTTGATTATGCCTTCTACTTAATTACACCGAAATTACAATTTTTAAAATACTATTTAAAGTTTATTGCTCAGAATGTGTGAAAGCCAAGAAAAAAAAAAGGGTGGGTGGGTGGGTTATGAATAGCACACATTCCACTAGACATACTCTACCTTACGTGTAGAACTTGCAGACATGCTCCAGAAAGGGTTCATAACGTGCAGTCCAAAACACCAGGTGTTAATATACTATACTGCCCAAACGTCCAACTTTCTACAGTTACTTTCTAACCTGGAAACATGAAAGTGAAGTTAATGACTCAGTTCCCACTGCTCCGATCAAGAACGATATTCTTAGTTTAGCTGCCCTGGGTTTATGTGTTTTAACTATTTAAGGCTCCGACATTTCACGCAGAATGAGCCTCATCTAATTTATGAATACGAATCAATGGACGTAAGCTAGCTTCCTCTGCAAACTCATATTCCCAAACTCTTTTTGGAAATATAACAAAAATTCTGGGATCGAGGTTGCTGCTGGAGAAAATTGGCAAGCAAAGGAGGGATGTTGCTTTGTCACCCTGCAGGCTTATTTCTAGTTGTACGGCGTGGAACGGAGCAGGATTTGCAGCAGGGGAAAATGCATCCATGCCCTCCCCATTCGGGTTTCAGATTCTCTCCTGCGATCAACCTTCATAAGCTTTATGGCTTGGACTTGAAAGGTTAAACTTCTTGTGTCACAGGTCCAGAGAACAGATGAAGCTCCACATACTTAAACTAATATATTCATTGCCTTGCCTTGAAATATTTTTATATTACATAGGCTAATTGACTTAATACAGTTATTACTGTTGATACATTCAGCCTGTTAAGTGCAAAACCTGGGTGTCCATGCTATAACAAAATTAATATATCTCTTACAAAATCCTAAGTTTGACTTGCAGAAAAAACAAATACGACAACTATTTAGACTTTGGTATCCAATCAGCAATAAAAGCAGAGCACACCAAAAATGCCTAGTCCATGTACTGACCCCACACAATGTAGTGTTTCTGAAGATCTGAGGCAATACAGAGCGCTATTCCAAAGTGAAGAGTGAACCACAGGAAGGAAGCTCCACTTGTAATTTGTTGGAAAAAGGTGGCAAAAATGATGCAAGGATTTGCTTAGTTTACAGGATGGACTACTAAACACTTGAGCTCAAGCATCCTAGAGTCACTTATATCTTTGTTTCTGAAATCAGATTCCAGCAAATCTGGTTGAGGCTTTTTGTTGTTGTTGTTACGTGGTTCTTAATTACCTTTAAAAATAAAGAAATAAATGTGGTTTTCCCTCCCTCTCCCTAGAATGTATTTATATGTTGTTCATAAATCATGGACACAGTGCCATCTTCAAGAGACGTGATCTCACCTAAAGAGCATGTAACACAACAAGAGGCCAGCTGAAAAACAGCAGCAGGTCGGACCCGTCTGCCCACTCCGTTATAAATGCCGGCACACCTTTTTCTGAACACCTAGTGACTTCCTATAATTACCATTTCCACTGGCAGGTTGTGGATACTTTTGTTCTTCCACCTGATTTATTATCTGATTAAGAAATATAAGGACGTGCACTGCGTCAACCAAATTTCTGACTGCTGCAAAAAATAGAAGCAGCAGCGTGTTGGATGAAGCAGGGCTGCCCGGAAACAGAGTTCAGGGTTTCCCGAAGAGATAAATCTCAGAGGGAGCTGAGAAAGAAAAATGAAAGAGTTCAGAAATAGGAAAAATCTATTGTAAAAAGAGTCCCAGAACTCTAGGCTGAGCAGCAAGCCTATTCTTCATGTCCTGAAAATTCCTCACGTTAGCAGGCAGGATTCTCTCTCCAGTTCACCTCTTCCTGTTCATAATACAGCCTACAAAATCATACACAATTTCAGGGGCGGCCCAGAGCTAGGAACTGCCTTATAGCAGAATCCGCAGAAGCTGCCATAAACATGTTTAGTCAAGAAATCAGGACATGATTTCAGGAGAGCCGTACAGGACCAAATTCCAGAGGTCTATTTGGTTTTCCACTTCAACCAACCATATACCCACAGGAAGTTCACTAGCAGAACATAAGGACAACCATTGCTGAACTTTAAACAAACCCACCAACTCTACCTTCCCAACACATTTATGCACATGCTAATCCATCTTTACGTGCATATTCTTCTGTTGGCTGCAGGAAGATGCAGCTTCGCAGGAAAATTTCAGAAAAAGTAGTTTACCTACAACGCTTAAGTAGGAATCCTAACCTCCCCCCCTCCCGCCCTTTTGGCACATAACTCTAAAAGCCTATCGAGTGAAGCCTTTTATAAATCTTATAAACAAATAAAATAAACTCCATTCGCACCCGTTCTCACTCTCTTTTATACCAGAGCCTGCTCCCAGAAATATCTATTCTTTAAACTAAACCAGCTAGGGATTATAAGATTTGAAGTGGGATATGTGGGGAAAGCTGGTTTAGCTAAGTGCTTCTTATTTGCTTTAATTTCTCAGCATCCTATTATCTGTTTTTACAAGTTTGCCACCTGTTTGCTAACATTCCTCCTCTTGCATCCATACCCTGAAAGAGGAATACAGGAGTGAAAAGCAATTCTTTGCAAAGTCCAGCTCAGGAACAGAATTAGTGTGGAGTCCCTGATTTTAAAAAATGGGCTTCCTCGGATAACCACCAGTCATCAATATAACCCTAAATCACCTTTTTAAGTTGCCAAGAGTCTTTACACTGCAGCAGGATACAAAAATAATAAATAAATCATAAATAACATTTTAACCATGGCTCAGTAACAAAGCCATGAGGAGGGCCATAAACCACAGATGATAAAACCAGATGGCTGGTTGACCTGTCAGTCTAAACCAAAGAAGAAGATACCAACTTTTGACTTAGTGGCTGGGTTCACCCACCTGGATCTCTGGATATGCAGAAACCACATTTGACGCATCCTTTTATACTCATGGGAGGAAAAGGCACCGTCCTTTTCTGAACTCTGGACTCAGGGATCCCCATGCAG